GATAAAGTCACTTTTTGGAAATGGTAATTGGACAACTACCTTTTTAATATTACTTATAAATTACTGTGAAATAACTATAAATATTTGTATATTTACTATAAAAATAGTGAGTTAACTACAATTTATAGTTCAGGCACATTCTACCCTTTTTGCAGTTGCATAACTATTTTTTATACCATAAAGTAAGAATTAACATTTACAAGAATTGACAATTTTTATGGTTGACAAATATTACAGTTGATCTTACCAAGATTGTATACCCTTGCAGAGGGTATTATGATTTCAGTCAGAAGTTTGCAACGCAGTGAAGGAGACGTTACCGACCCCATAAAGTACACACAAAAAAAAACTTGGTAAAAGCAACTGTAATAATTGTCAAACAGGCCCAACCAGCAAAATTGTCAACTCTACTAAGTAAATAGTTATTCCACAACAACAAAATACACACAATTAGCAAAGACACACACCCAACACGCTTCCGTTAATTTCGCCTTCAAAAGCCAAAAAAAAAGGCAAACTTAAATACCTTATCCTTTTTCACTAAATCGTGCAATGGTTTCGCTATTATTAAAAAAACCCTAAATAAATCGGCGGAAATAAGAGCAGAGACCCAAAAAACTTTTAACTGCTTGTACTTAGGAAAATTTTGTATACACACAAAAAAATCTTTAAAGTTAAAGAAAAAAACGATTCCCTGGGGGCGGGTTTTTTTATCCAGAAAAATATGCGACAAATTTAAAAACGATCGGTTGAGCCGTTTAGAAATGCCGATGAACACGGACTTTTAAAAACGTGGTTTCGAGAAAAACATGTCACATGTAAAACACGTATAGAGCACTTTAAAAAGACGTTTTGCGGTGTTCACTGTATCTCCGCCAAAAATTGACGAATTTCCATTCCATCCTTTTTCACTAAATCGTACAATGGTTTCGCTATTATTAAAAAAAAACCCTAAATAAATCGGCGGAAATAAGAGCAGAGACCCAAAAAACTTTTAACTGCTTGTACTTAGGAAAATTTTGTATACACACAAAAAAATTTGCTTGGTAAAATTGACCAACAAAGTTAGTTACGTAACTATTAATATAGTTACGTGTATTTTGTTTTTGCTTTGGGTGTGTGTCTTTGCTAATTGTGTGTATTTTGTTGTTGTGGAATAACTATTTACTTAGTAGAATTGACAATTTTGCTGGTTGGGCCTGTTTGACAATTATTACAGTTGATTTTACCAAGTTTTTTTTTTTGTGTGTAGCTTTTAAGCCCCTATCATCAGTTTTAATTCCATCATATGAAATCAAAGATCCCAAATACTTAACATTGTCCTGTAAAAAGTTGCATTTTTCCATTCTTAACTCTAAATTATTTTCAACTAACCTTTTAAATACTTCTGCTTATATTTCTAAGTGTTCCTCTATATTGCTACTGGCAACTAAAATGTCGTCCATATATACTACAACCTTGTCCTTGTCCGTATCTGAAAATATATCATTGACGAATCTTTAAAATACTTGCGGAGAAGTTTTAAGTCCCATCGGCATACGCAAAAAATAAATTTTACCAGCTCCTTGTTAACAAACACTTGAATACTGATTTTCCCTCTAATTTATCTAAAAGGTCATTGATTAAGGGTATCGGATAATTATTCTTATCCATAATCTTATTCAAACGCATAAAACACCAGTTTACAAAAAAAAATCGATGAAATATACCATGAATAAAACCTTTGTTTTCTGGTAAGGTACGTCTTCCTGATTAAGAAAATTACACTTAAAATTTTTTTTATGGATAAAATTTTTTTTAAGTGTAAAAAACGTTTTTGACAATTTTTTAACTTCTAACTTGAGTTGTGGTTAACCGATTTCAACCATAAATGACTCATTTTATAGGTAATATAATGCCCTCCAACTTATACACTGCATTGGGTTACATTCATTAGTTTAGAAGCTACATTTCGTCAAAGTTGAAAAAGTTAGAAAAAATGCAAAAATGCTGGCATAAATGGCTTCGTTAAAAATACACGCCTCAAAACCGAAATTATTTTTATAACTTCTACTGGTAGAAGGTGCTTTGACAAAAAAAAACAAGTTATTGATCATTACAATCCACCAGCAAATTAATTTGATATGCATTTTTGAAGCTTGCGACAACGGTGTTTTTTTTTCCGTTTACAGCTGTTAACTGACAAATCTAGAGCCCTGTAATACCCGTTTTTCCCAACGTAAAAAATCGATATAAAATCGCACTATTGATTGATTCTCTTGTCTATGAATCAGTTTGGGAATTCACCAAATAAAATAACAATCAAGCAGCCTTACTGCGTCGTTTAGTTATGGTGAATAAATTTTTGTAATCTACAGTAAAATGTAAATTATTTGAAATGGGGCGCGCGAAAAACATACAAGAAGGCATATTTATATTAAAGTTGTTAAACTGAGTAATTTAATACTCGACTATAGCGTTCTCTCTTCTTTTTTGGTAAAATTGAGCAGACCCTCGAAGATATCTTTTTTTTTTTTTTTTAAGGGTTTATATTTATTCAACAATAACAGGTATACTGCTACCTATGTGGCAGCTTGAGCAGGTTGTAAATTACAGGGAATAACAAAATGTGGGTATAGATGTTTATACATTAACTCTATATTATTTATATTTTAAATTTTAAGCTTTAAACGGTTAAATGGATCTTAAAGGAAGGTCATGTGGGTGGTATTTTTTCAATCTTCTTCTTGTAGGTCTCCATATTAGTCTCCTCGCTAGGGAGTTAGGATGAGAGCCAAGGCGTTTATAGTGCTTTTCTGCGTGCATCGCCTATCTTTGGAATTTTGAGATCTCTTTCTATATCTCTGGTTCTCATGAACCAGGGGGCATTTCAAATCGATCTAACAATCTTACTTCGCGCTACTCTTATTTTGTTCAGATTTGACTTTGACGCTATGCCGTAAATTTGTAATGCATATTTCCAGATTGGGCTGAGAATAGATTTATAGTTTCTCACTTTATTGGACAGTGAGAGCTTATTTCTTGGTGATAAAAGCCAGGACATACTTGCTGCCTTTGAAAGCACTGTTTGCTTGATCATGGACGAAGATATCTTAAGTCAAAACATTAAATGTTGCTATTTTTTCAAACCGCGATTGCACAAATACCAACCGTTAAACGCGACAACTAAGTATGCAGATAATTCTCAAGATTATGATTTCTAAGGGGATACGACAGCCCAAACCGTATGAGCTAGAGCATCCAAATTTTTGCACAGTATTCCATTGGGGGCGTAGGCGCCCCCCAGTGGCCCCAAACAGCTCCAACATCCATATTTCGAGCAAAAAAACATTAGATGTACTTAAGCTTAACTTCTAAAGTGGTTAAAATTTCGAAATTTGGGTTTTGCAGAATTTGAGGTCTTAAAAAGGCCTAATTATAAATCTACAAGAAATTTCGATATCCCCCATAATTTGGGGGCTACATTTAAAATTAACTTTTCGATTTAAAAAATCTAAGCCGCTGCTTCGATCAAGATGATTTTTGGGTCAATAGTTATTCTATGGCCCAAATGCTTAAGTTTATTTTTTCAAGTTTTTAACATTTTTTTAAGTATTTTTAAAGAGCTTATTTAGATTTTCTAAGTTATTGCGTTGCATTTTGTGGGAGCCTGCCGAGAGAGCGAAACCCAGAGAGCGGATGGCAATGGCATTGGAGGGTTAGTGCTGTGTGGTATGGGGAGGGGAAAGGGGAAATTAAAGTTAAAATTTGTTTTGGATTTTAAAAACTTAAACTGCTGTTCCGATCAATATGATTTTCGATCAATAGGTTAGGTTTTATTTTTAAAAAAATATTTTTCATTTGTAGCAGAAGTAAGAGCCTTATTTAATTTAAAATAACAAATTACTACAAATTCTGTAAACAAAGCCAAAATGTTTCCAAGTTTATTATTAATCTTAAGATTCGAAATTTTCATCAAACACGTATGTACATTGTACATATGCAATACATACACATAATGTGTGTTTATGTTTCTACTTGAAAGGACATAATGTCCTTAAATACAAATAAAAGTATTCATTTCCTTTCAGCCAATGCAAAATTTTAAGAGTTTCAAATTAATAATTACACTATGCAGCATCAAAAATTTACCTCAATGGATGCTATATTTTTGAATTCGTTGCAAATTCTCAAGTTAAACTGCGTTTTCCAAAAAGTACCCCGACGCAAGGATTCTTAGCAAAAGGACCTCAAAGTTCGAAAAATGCTGAAATTGGCCAACTTTCCGGAGCTCTCTGAGGCAAACGGATTCATGGTTTGATTCGGTGTTAAAATGTTTTAAAAGATACACTCTTTATCTTTCGAACCCCTTACTTACCCCTTACCCCTTAGAATAATTTTAGGATTTTTATTAAGGGGAAAACAAATTTTAGAAAACATAAAAGTGTACAGCTGCGGTCAAAATAGTAGTAGTATTGCCGCTCTGTGTTTTTAAAGGTTTGGTACCTTTTCGAGTCCCACTTTCAGGGCGCTTTAATTTGTTGTCTTAAAGTGCATAAAGCAACCAACAAAATGAGGTATCGTTTATTAAAATCGGTCAACAACTTAACGAGAAATGGCTAGCCATATAACCAAACAAACAACTGCTTTGGCGTAATGCACGAATTCCATACGAATTAAAAAAAAAACCAACCTTCTATCTAAATAAGAAAGTTTTTATACCCATTTCTCGTTAAGTTGTTGACCGATTTTTTCGACTAGCACAAATTTTCTAGACCCTGAATCCAAATGCATTCAGACAAATTCCAGGTTGCTTTATACTAGTTGTACAACTAGTTGTTTTTCAGACTAGTTCGTATTTCACCCTCTTCCCTAAACCAATTACGTCATGTTTCTTTGATTCGAATAACCAACTAGAGGGATGATTGCAGTTCACCCTTAAGGCTTATTTATTTAATGCACGCCAAATACACAAACACAAATTCGTTTAACCGTCTTTTTCAACTTTCTATCGTTCACAGCTACAGAGATTCGCTGCCAGGAGAAGTCTCGTGGAGGGCTGAGCTATGAGGTCATCCTGGCTGAGCCGGCTCCCAATGTGGCCGTTCCTAAGCGACCGGTCACCCCCGGCAAGAACGTTAGCGTCGAAGAAATTGAGCAAAAGTTAAAGGCGGCCGAAGAACGTCGCATTGTAAGTTTGTAAACTTCGAGTCTTCCTTATTATGCAGTGAAAGATCATTCCAAGCGAAAAAATACCAGACCATGTAAAAAACAGTTGACCGTTTTTAGTTGTCACAAAATAGGTCCCACTTTGGGACTCCCAAATTGGGTGGAAAAGACTAAAAGAAAGGTTAAAGTATATAATCCTCCTTGGACCGCGATTTCTTCTGATTATCATAATAAAAATACACATGTGGTCATCTATGGTTATGAGAGTTCTTAAGAAATCGCTGTCCATCGAGGATCATTTTTACGCGGTTGTGAGGACTACTTCCCTCTAATACCAATTACTCAGATGTTTGGAATTTTAAAATAGTCCTATTTTGACAAAAAAGAAAAAGGGTACATATATACATATATGATTTTTATAGCAAACGTTTGAAAAGCATACTTGTTTTTATAGCAAGCCCGGGAACTTTGAAATTTAATTACAAGAGAACCATGGCCGACCGCCAAGTTCTTTTTGCACGTAAATTCTTAAGAAATCGCGGTCCATCGAGGATAATTTTTTCGCGAATTTCGGGGGTGAGTCCGCTAATGTATAGTATTACCATAATTTTATTAGATTAACGTGCAAAATGAGCTGAACGCGAGTTAGCACATTCATACCTTTTTCACTCTTCTGGTCATTTTTTTTTTTTTTACTTTTTACTTCTTATTCTAATGACGAAGCGCACCAGGAGAGTGTGCGAAGGCGACTACTATATATACACGAAGAAATGAAAATCTACTGTGATGGTCCGATCATAATGAATGATACACCTATCGAAAGGTATTGCAAAAACTAACAGGATTGCATACCAAGACTCTAAGAAAATCAATTGGCTTGGGAGAGAGAGCGGTGAAAGTGAAAAAGTGAAAATTTCGAAATTTGGAGCTGTTGGGGCCGGTGGGGATAATTGCCCCCTCGCAATATTTTACTTGTATTCCTTTTGAAAATACCCGTTGAATGAGGGGTCGTTTGTCAAAATCCGACGCTCCGTTCAAAAGTTATAGCAAAAATAAGATTTTCTTCGTCTTCCCAAAATGAACATTTAATTCTGTTTGTCAGTTTGTCAGTTTGTCAGTTTGTCAGTTTGTCAGTTTGTCCAAAACATGTTTTTTAAGTTTTGAAAATTTTATATGACGTTCATCACATCGATATAAAAAACTTTTGTTCTACCACTTTTGGAAAAACTCGCTAGTTTAGCGGGAAAACAGCTTTAAATAGCTAAAAATCGGAAAGCCGTAACTTCTATACTACTAAAGCTACAGACTTGTGCTGCATCTCGTTTGAAAGGTATTTTTAAATGCTATAAACGCCTTCTATATGCAATTTGTGTAAATGTAATAATTAAAAAAATATGAACAAAAGACAATTTTTTAAAACTTTTTTTTAGCTTTTTTTATTTTTCTCAAAAACGGCTCTAACGATTTTCTTTAAAACCTTAAACTGTATAGCCCTTGAGATTCCTTAAATTTTGGTATATAACACATTACTGTAAAAAGTCACGTTTAAAAGTTATTTTTATACGAAAATAGCCACTTTTGCCAGCTCGAACAATTAACGCTCCCTGAGTATTGAATTTTGTGGGAGGGTATCCGAACTGTATTTTAGGGTCATGGAATCAGTAAATTTGCACTTAAGAGTTCCATATAGGAATCTTTTGTTCTACGACTTTTGGAAAAAGCCGCTACTTTAGCGGGAAAAAGCTAAAAATAGCTAAATTTCGTTAGTTTGTAAGTTCTACACTACTAAAGGTACAGACATGTGCTATACCTCGTTTAAAAGGTATTTTAAAATACTTCAACGCCTTTTTAACTTAATTTGTTAAAATACAATAGTTTAAAAATTATGATTGACCAATTTAAATTTAAATGTATATATTAGCTCCTATGAGAGCAAATGTAAGCAAACAAAAACTTCTGATATCAAATAAAAACACCTCTTAACGAGGTAAAAAACTAGTGACGACCGCACCTTCAACATACAAAAGTTCTGATATCAACATTTGTGACGAAAAATTATTACACTCGTCATTAAATAGACTTTCTAATATTTTCTCATTCGGCACGCTGCAATAGAAAATGCCTGTGAAGGGAAAAATGCTGGAATAGTTTGCTAGGATTGAACTCAATCCAGTGTATAAGAAAGTTGGAGGGCATTCTATTACCTGTAAAATGAGTCATTTATGGTTGAAATCGGTTAACCACAACTCAAGTTAGAAATTAAAAAAGGGTCAAAAACATTTTTTACACTTAAAAAAAAATTTTATCCATAAAAAAATTTTAAGTGCCAATCAGAAAAACGTACCTTACCGGAAAACAAAGGTTTCTTTCATGGTATATTTCATCGATTTTTTTTTGTAAACTGGTGTTAGTGAACAATGAAGAAAAGAAAAATCTTTAGATTGGCTAAATAAATATGTGGTCTTAAGATATTTAGACCATTTGAAAGGACTTGAAATTCAGGAACTGCTGTAATGACATGCAAGACATGCAGACAGACAGACAGACAGACAGTTTTCTGTAATAATTGGGTGCTCCTGATTTTATTTGCTGCAAAATAAAAGTCTTCCAACGATTTTAATTTCGTTAACTTGGAGGAAAAAGTCTCTAATAGACTTCTATTTGAAAAATCAAAAATAACTGTTATTCAAGAATAAAAATCAAAAATAAAAGTTATTTTTGAGCGATATTATATAAATTAATAATAATAATTATTTTGAAACTTTAATAATACAAATTTTACATAACCGGTAAAAATTATTTTTCAGGGACCGAAAATAACACAGGCCGACAAAATGTGACATGGGTCGGTGTCCAGGCCACTGCCACTACACCTACACACAAAAAAAAAACTTAGTAAAATCAACTGTAATAATTGTCAAACAGGCCCCAACCAGCAAAATTGTCAATTCTACTAAGTAAATACACCCAGAAAAAAAAGAACGAAAAAAATCAACAACATTTTTTTTGATTTGCGAACAATCCGTTCTCCTTTTTTTGTTCTCACATTTTGAACGTTTGTTCTCAAATCTTCCTAATTCAACACCAATATGTTCTAAAAGTGACCCCATTCGTTCAAAGCATGCCAATATTTCGGTCAAATTTTATGACCAAGCGTTCATGAACTGACAACAAACGGGCTTACGCACTTTTTGACCCCGTTTGGGCTTGATTTTCTAACGTTTCGAACGGATTTTTTTCTGGGTGTAGTCATTTCACAACAACAAAATACACACTATTAGCAAAGACACAAACCCAAAGCAAAAACAAAATACACGTAACTATTTTAATAGTTACGTAACTATCTTTGTTGGTCAATTTTACCAAGCAAATTTTTTTGTGTATATAATCCATCAGCTCTGGTATTTGCGGTACCTTTAATTTAAGAAAGTCACAAATTTTCTTCGTCTTTTGGGATATATCTTCAAGAGTGGTCAACCAATTTTAGTAATCTTTTCGGAATTAAATAGTTACATGTCTCTTTTATACGGTCGTTTTGGAAAATTCAATCTACCTTAACCACACGAGGAGGTGGGCGCATTCAAAATTTTAAAGTCACAGCAAAGTTTAAAAATCTTCATTTGTGAACATCGTTTAAAACTTAAATAAAAATATTTTCTTCTACAATGCATTTTTGATCTAAAGACATTTTATGTCCTTAAATTTTAAGACACTCATCAGGTTTTTGTGAATTGTTTTGGACTATAGGCGTAGTGGCAACTTATGCTTAGAAAAGCCTCATTTATCGAAATAAAATGGTGGCAGGCCTGGACACCGACCCATGTCACAATTTGTCGGCCTGTGTAATCATTATTTTTATTTCTTCAAACAAAAAATCGGCCACTTATAATAACCCTAAAAAAAAGATTTTCATCAAAGTAATTAACTTTGTCCAATCTATGCATACCCGCCATGATTTTTAAATTGATGATTTTTATCTTTTTTCTCAATGGTAATCTTTATTTTTGATCAAAAAAAATAGGACTCAAAAATAATGAATACACTGTGCAGCATTTTTAGTGTTTTTTAAATTTACCTAGATGGATGCTATATTTTTGTATTCGTTACGAATTCCCAAGTTAAACTGCGTTTTCCAAAAAGTTCCCCGACGCAAGGATTCTTAGCAAAAGGACTTCATAGTTCGAAAAATGCAGAAATTGTCCAACTTTCCGGAGCTCTCAGAGGCAAACGGATTCATGGATTGATTCGATGTTAACGTTTTTTAAAAGATACACTCTTTATCTTTCAAGCCCCATACTTAGAATAATTTTAGGATTTTTTTTAAGACAGAAATAAATTCCAGAAAACATACTCAAAAAACATAAAAGCATACAGCTTCGGTCAAAATAGTAGTAGTGTTGCCGTCCTGTGTTTTTAAAAGTTTGTTGTTGTAATTCATCTTCTTTTGGTAATATTGTATTGATTATAATTGTACTATTAGACTCATTGGATAAAAAAAGTCACAACAACAAACTTTTAAAAACACAGGACGGCAACACTACTACTATTTTGACCGAAGCTGTATGCTTTTATGTTTTTTGACTATGTTTTCTAAAACTTGTTTCTCCCTTAATAAAAATCCTATAATTATTCAAAGTATGGGTTTTGAAAGATAAAGAGTATATCTTTTAAAAAACTTTAACACCAAATTAACCAATGTACCCGTTTGCCTCTGAGAGCTCCGGAAAGTTGGCCAATTTCAGCATTTTTCGAACTTTGAGGTCCTTTTGCTAAGAATACTTGCGTCGGGGAACTTTTTGGAAAACGCAGTTTAACTTTGGAATTCGTAACGAATCCAAAAATATAGCATCCATCGAGGTAAATTTTTGATGCTGCATAGTGTTATTGATAATTTTTTTTTATTTGTTCAAAATACAAACTCAAAACATCCTCGCGGGCCTCCTGTAAGACTTTTCGTCAATCTGATTTCACAGTCGTTTAAGGGCCTATCAAAGCTACGTCCACGATTTTTTGCAAATTTTT